AGGAGTCCACTGATTTGAGTCAGGGAATTGTCTAATGCTACCTTCCACTTCTGTGGCTCTCTCCTCAGACAAGGAACGTGAGAAGGCCAAGGACAGGTATGTCCGCAGCCTCTGGAAGCTCTACTCCCTGCACAACCAATACGTGCTGGCCCTGCGAGCTGCGGAGGTGCAGCACAGCTTCCACTATAAGCAGATCCTGCCCAGCCTCCTCCAGTCCCTGCATGGCCTTTTGCAGGAGATGGCCCAGATCACGTGAGAGCAGCAGCTGACCCCAGATGGGCTTGGGCTGGGCGGGGGGGGGGGATCAGGCTGGGTTGCTCAGGTGAAACAAAACTAGGTTGGAGGGAGAGAGGAGTAGAGTGGGCACTGCTGGGGTACAGTTAGCAACATCCTTTTTCTTACCTCTTATCTTTTTCTTCTTGTCTTAATTCCTTTGGCTTAGTATTTCATACTTGTCTGCACTCTGCATACAATCCTGCTGACTTCAAAAGGGAACCGCATGTGCATGTGTGAATGCTGTTCTTTCTATCCATCCTCTTGTGTTTGTACCAACAGGAAGGCAACTCTGCAAGAATATGCCAGCATCACAAGCCTGGTACAGGAGGAGATGGTGGTTGTGCACCAAGCCATGGTCAGGGCCATTGACCGCATCCAGCCAGCCACCGACTATGAAGAGTTCCTCCCCCCTTGCAGGTACTGTCTGCTGAGGTCTTGTCTCCTGGCTGGCTGGGAGAGCGAGGGGCTTTTCATTCTCAGACTGGCTGGGGTCTCTCTCTCCAGGTGTGAGCAGCAGGAGATGCCAGGCATGGTGACCTTTGATAGGAGTTTGCTAGAGGAGGCTGAGACAGAGGTCCTGCAAGAGGGGCAGCTCCAGCTGAATGAACTCACCCTGGAAAGCCTGCAACACACGTGTGTAGGGGAAGGTGGAGCCCTCTGGGAAGAAGGCGGCCCCTGGGCAGGGAGGTGATCCAGCCCATCTGCATGGGCATTGCTGAGGCCGGGGACTGTGGATGGAAAAAGAGAGATGCCCTCTATGTGTGAGATAGGACACCCCCTTCTCTGCTTTGCAGGCTGATCTCCCTGGAAGAGGAACTGATCAGTGCCACAGAGAGCACTGATGGCCATCGCCGGCATGTCCAGATGCTAGAAACTGAAATCCAGAATGATGAGATGGCAGGAAGCCCAGGAAAACGGTGAGCTTTTGCCACTGAAGCAGGATGCTCCAGATCTTGCCAAATTGCCACTCTGGCTCCTTCACTTATCCAAACGGAAGAGTGCAAACCTTGAAGGGCCAGAAGAGGAGGCCAAGGGAGAGCAGCAAGCTTACCTATGCAAGGCATGCATGCCATTAGATTTGTCTTTCTCCCCCTTTTGCGAGGTTGTGTGAAACACATCTTGCAGCTCTCCGTCCCAGAGGCCAGAAAAGGAGGCAACACCGCAACTCCCTGCCACTCATTCCTCAGTTCCAAAGTCTTTCCCAGCTTTCCCTTTTCTCTGCCTGATGTCCCACAGCGTCCCTCCCATGCCATGATGTACGAGGCATGGGTTCAAGGTGGTCCTTGAAGGCAACTCATTCATTCCCACATTATCTTCATGCAGCGGCTGATTGAAGATAAAAGCTTTGCATAGAGAAGCTTTGGTTTTTCTCTTCTTAATTGCTGTGTGCAGGCCCACCTGGAAGAAACCACATGCTGGATGCTTTGTGCCAGAGGCCTCCTACCTCTTTGCAGAGTTGAGTGCTCCCTTGACCTTCTGCCACAGATGTGCTACCCTTGGCAAAGCCTCCTTTCCTGTGCATGCTCCATCCAATGCACCTCTTTTCTTCCCTAGTGTCCTCCTTCTGGGAAGGCAGAAGTCCCTGCATGAAGCTTACCATCTTTTCCATCTTGCTCTGGGCACTCAAGAAAAACTCAAGGCCCAAAGGGATTTGCTGCAACAAAAGCTGGATGAGCTGGGACACCTAGACCCCCCACCTGCCCCAGATCTGCAGGGTGACAGGCAGTTACTCTCTTCTGTGGTGGGTATAAGCAGTGCCCTGCCAAGTCAGAGCAAGACAAGGTGGTAGCAAAGTGTGCCTATTGTGCTGATCGGGAAGAAAGGAGGGGCACAAGCAATGGGCTTAGTCCAGCTGCTCCTTTTTCTCTGCCTCACCTCTTGGGTGGGCTGGATTCCAAGCCTTGAGGGGGGGGGGATGCTCTGCGGTGGTCTCTGACATAGTGCTGCGCCCACACCAAGTTCACCCTCTGCCCTTCTTCTCTGGCAGGAGCAGGACGTTGAACGAGATTGGGGCCGAACACCGCTGGCTTTGGAGGCCCTGAAGCATCACATCTCAGGCATTTTTCGTCCACGTGTCTCAGTGAGTGGTCATCCTCAATTGTTGCTTCTCACTGCCTCCCTGCCTAGCTGGATTTCCTGAACAGGCAAAGCCAAAAAAGGCCCATGTCCCAAACATTTGCTCTTAAAATATACTAGATGAGGAACTGGCATTTATTCAGAAGTAGCACAATTTTTCCTAACTTTGTTTTGGGATAAAATATTAAAAAAAAATCTTACTGCCACCATCCCAAATTTGAAAACTTAACATTCTTAAAATAGTGTAGAGTGTGAAGGTGCACGGACAGGGTGCTCTGCAAACAGAGGTGGGCGGGGGAAGGAGGAGCAGCTAAAAAAGCAAAACTGGAAGGAGGAAGAGAGCAAAGAAGGAACAAGAAGCAGGAGAGTCAGAGGTAAGACCAGTAGGTCTGTAAAGAAAAGGAGGATTTCAGTCTTAAGCAAAGGCAGAGAGTACCTAGAGAAATTCTGAACCCGCTGACTTTTCATAAGGAACTGAAAGTGGCGTAATTGTAACAACATTAGTTGGGCAAAACAGGGATCTATAGGCATTTCCTATGATCAGAAAAAAAGAGGAAACCAGAAGAAGAACTCCAACAGAGGGACAGTGAAGTTGAGCAATCTAAAGCTGAACCATGCTGTTCCTCTTAGAGGAATTGAAGAGCCATAAAGAGGGGAGACTCAAGAGCCATTTATTCATTTGAAAAGTGGGCATTTGGGCCAGCCTCTGGGGGTCACTGACTTGTCTTTTGACTCACTGATAGAAATGCAAGAAGGGAATGTCTTCCCATCTGCATTTTTTGCACTTTGAGTTTTCTAAGTATTGGACTGGCCTCCTGAAGAAAGAGTTGGACCTTGAGTGCCCTTTGTGCTCAGAATCAGAGTGCCCAATCTCTGCACACTTTACTTCTGAAAGCTCCTAGACCCGTGATGGTGAACCTATGGCACGCATGCAACAGGTGGCATGCAGAGTCATTTGTTAGGGCACGCCAGGCCAACCCTGTCAGGTCCAGTGTGCATGCGCATGCTGGCCAGCTGACTTTGGCCTTCTTTTTCAACCATTTTTACCTGGAGGCCACCCAACACGCAAACCAGAAGTTTGGGAACAGACTGCTGGTTTGCACGTTAGGCCGTTTTTCATGCTCCAGAGCCTTCAGGAGCCTCCTAAAGCTCGAAAAATAGCCCTGCGGACAAACCGGAGTCACTTCCAAGTTGCCCATAGGGCCATTTTTTGCCCTCCGGAGCCTCTTGAAGGCTCCAGAGGGGGCAAAAATGGCCCTACGGACAAACCAGGTCACAGTTCCTGAACGTCTGTGTTGCCCGTAGGTCCTGAAGCCTCTGGAGGGTCTCCGGGGAGGGGGGAGTTGTTTTTGCCTCCCTCTCAGGAGGCAAAAGCCTCTGGAGCCTGGGGAGGTGAAAAAAGCGCACCAAAAGCGGGGAGGGGAAGTGCTGGTCATGTACATAGCATTATGGGTGTGGGCACACCTGTGCCCGACCCCCCCTGCAATTCCCCGCTTTTGGCACATGATCCAAAAAAGGTTAGCCACCACTGTCCTAGACTCTCACTCCTCCTTAAAGGTCTGTCTCCTCAATTCAGCTGTGCTCTCATCCCCAGCCCATAGAAATTGAATAATACAATAATTGTGGATGTTTTGATTGTTTTTACATGTTTTTTATTGCTTTTACTTTTGGAATTGTACAGTATTATCAGTAATTGAAATGGACAATTATAGAAATTGAATAAAACATTAGATTAACAGAGTTGGAAGGTACCTTATAGGTCATCTAGTCCAACACCCCCCCACCACTCAAGCAGACCTTACAAATGGTAGTCCAATCTCTTCTTGAAAGGTTCAAGTGATGAAGCCCCCACAACTTCCGAAGGCCACTTCTGTTCCATTAGTGGATTGCTCTCCGCTGTCAGAAAGTTCCTCCTNGAGAGAGAGAGAGAGAGTGACCAGTGACCTGTTTTGCCCTCTCTCCATCCGTGACCCTTAACCAACTTGGCTTGGTTACCTTCCGTGAGCCTGAGAGCACCGAACCAAGTCCAGTTGGCACCATTGGGTTTGCGAAGGGTGCAGAAGAACTCAAGAGAAACGAGCTTCCTTGGGGTTGGGGGTGGGTTGGGGCGCAATCCCAGCCTTGGGATCCCAAAACCAAACCAGAAAAAGTGCTGGTGCCAACCAGAAAGTTGGCTGCCTACCCTGAGAAGTGTTTGTTCTGCTGCCTCTGGAGGGTGACAGGTAGGGAGTAATCCAGGTGTTATACTCCAAAACCACATAAAGTTAGATCCCGTTCAGGACTGCAAACTAGACTGAGAAGGCGTGAAAGCATGAGTACAAAAACCACAACCTTAAGAGAGTCCTATGGTTGCCCAGAGAAGGATGTGCATCTCTTTTTTAAAAAAATAATTTTTATTACGCAGTTTTTTTAAAACAAAAAAGAAACAATTTTAACAGTTTTCTTCTACAGTATACCACCTTTCCATATGTGCATCTCTTAAGTCAACTTTTCCTTTCATCATCAAAGGATTTCTCCTGATAGAATAGAATAGGGTAGAGTAGAATAGAATGGAATGGAATGGAATTCTTTATTGGCCAAGTGTGATTGGACACACAGTGAATTTGTCTTTACTGCATAGGCTCTCAGTGTACATAAAAAGACAAGATAAAAGACAAGATGATGAAAGCTTGACCTTCAGTAGGGCAACAGCAAGGGTACAACGGGGCTGAAAATCAGAGTCCCCCGTTTCAAATAGTTCACATTGGCCTGTTTTAAAATTTTGGGAAGGCTTTTTATGGGATTAGGCACCACATGGATCAACACGAAATATCCATCTGGTCCACTTTAAGACCTGTGGACTTCAACTCCCAGAGTTCCTCAGCCAGCTTTGCTGGAAGTTGGAGCCCACAGGTCTTAACGTTGCCAAGATTGGAGACTCCTGATTCTAATTTTTCAATCTTTGCATCTTGTTCTCCATGTGGAAAGGATCCGTTCAAGGCCACATAGATCTGTAGTATGGTTGCTTCAGTTCTGGTTTCGTGGGTGGACCATACCCCAATGTCAGGCCTGCAGGCATCTTTTCTTTTTGATCTTTGGCCTGCCACACTTTCTATTATTCTACTTTGCCTTTTTTCTATTGTGGGAAAATGGGAGGGGGGTTGTAAGGAGTTGCATACTATGTAGCCGTAACAAAATTCCTTCTAGAAAGCCAAGGTCATCTTTTGTCTTGCACCTCTGCACCTGACCGGAACTGGATGGGTGGAATTGTCAGCATGGCAGTGGGAGATTGGACCTTGTGATAGACTGGTGGATGTTGGGGCAAGATGTTGAACTTCCCAACATGACATCTCTAATAAAGTGGAACTTTGAGCAATACTTTGCCTTGGACTCTGATTTACTTTTGGATGCTATTTGGAATCCTGACATTCCAACCCAAGCTCTGGGATCCGCAAATGATAGCTTGTTAGTTCGTGCATACTGGTGAAACCAACTAACTGTGGCATGTTTTAGCAATGCATTGATAGACTCAGCATGGCTTCCTTGATGGAGGAGTCCCCCTTGGTGCTTAGGGTGCTTGTAGGGAAACAGTTCAGTTTGGGGGAGAGATCTGATCTCAAAAATAGTGAGTAGTTTCACAGAAGATGGGTAATGCTTAGAGTGAAGTCCACCCTGGGAAATAAAATTCTAAGTCAGAGAAAATAGTAAAAATGTCTATCAAGATACTCAATCATCCAGGCCATGGTTGTCCCAAAGATGCTTTTCAAAAGGCAGGTGCACTTTCTTGGTTTTTTTCCTTGAAAATGTTTTACTTCTCATCCAAGAAGCTTCTTCAGTTCTGACCAGTTTCTTGGACGAGAAGCAAAATGTTTTCAAGGAAAAAACCCCCAAGAAAGTCCAGTTGCCTTTTGAAAAGCACCCTTTGGATATTAATAATAGATAGTAACAGTAAGTATTAGTAATAGATAGCAATTGATTTTTCTTTATTTCTTCTTTTTTCTGCATTTATTTATATCCTGCTTTTATTATTTTTGCAAATAATTCAAGGTGGTAAATACACACTACTTCCTCCTATTTTCCCCACAACAACAGCCCTGGAAGGTAACAGATAAAAGAGTTGGAAGGGACCTTGTAGGTCATCTTGTCCAATCCCCTGCCCAGCAGGGGACCCTACAGTACTTCTGACAAATAGCAGTCCAATCTCTTCTTGAAAGTTTCAAGTGATGAAGCTTCTATAACTTCTGAAGGCAACTTCTGTTCCATGGGTTGATTGTTCTCACTGTCAGAAAGTTTCTCCTTATTTCTAGGTTGAATCTCTCCTTGGTCAGTTTCCAGCCATTATTCCTTATCTTCAGGTGCTTTGGAAAATAAGTTGACCCCCCCTCTCTCTGGAAAATAGCTTGACCCCCTCCTCTCTGTGGCAGCTCCTCAAATATTGGAGGACTGCTATCCTGTCTCCCTGGTCCTTCTTTTCATTAAGCTACTATTCTTTTTATGTTTTAGCCTCCAGTCCCCTAATCATCTTGGTTGTTCTTCTCTTTTTCTAGAGTCTCAACATCTTTTTTATAGTGTGAGCTGGGTTGAGGGAGAGTGAGGGGCCCAATGTCACCCAGCTGGCTTTCATGGCTAAGGCGGGACTTGAACTCACTGCTCCCTGCTTTCCTACTAGGCCAAAGACTCTCCGTTATCTATCTCAATAGATAGTAAGTAAATAAATCTTTATTACGGTGAAAGACCAGCAATACACATTATTTTTTACAATATGTTAAAAAGTACTGACATTAAGATATAATTAAAAAGTATTGTCGTTAAAAGTGGAAAATAACATACATGTTCTCAGATTGTTCTCAATAGATAGTAATATTAAGTCACGGGAAGCTACCTTCATTGTCTGGCCCAGAAGCCCCCTGTTGTGATTTCCTAGACACCTTCATGGAATTTTCTTGTAGGCCTTTGTCTTTCTAGAATCCTAAAGAAAATGCTTATCTTGTTTAGCCATGTGATACCGCATTGCGTGCATGTAAA